AAATTCCTTCTATCTTGCTCCAACTGAGCCCACGGAAGTCACCGAGATTATAAAGTCACTTAAAAATAACTCAGGGAATCTGTCTCATGTCCCACCATTATTGTACAAGAGAGTGGCCCATGTCCTCTTGCATACTATCTCATTGCTTTTTAACAAGTCACTAGAAGCTAGCACCTTCCCGAAACTACTCAAGATGGCAAGGGTTACCCAATACATAAAGGTGGTGACCGTACAGATTTAAACAACTATAGGCCAATATCAAACTTACCATTGCTATCCAAAATCTTTGAGAAACTCGTGCACAGGAGACTATATTCATTTATAACGTCATAAAACATACTCAACCCCTGCCAATTTGGATTCAGGAAAAATAAAAGCACTAACAATGCAATTATAAAAATGCTAGATCTGCTTTACACAGCATGGAAAAATAAGGAATATCCACTAGAATTTTTATTGACCTAAGAAAGCTTTTGACACAGTAGACCACGGCATCCTACTCCACAAACTTGACCATTATGGTATAAGAGGCCATGCGCTTACATATTTCAAATCTTTACCTTACTAATAGGTATCAGTATGTCACCATTAAAGACACAGCATCAACAACACAGCCACTTGATACTGGAGTTCCGCAGGGAAGTGTCCTTGGTCCCCTGCTCTTCCTCACATACATCAATGATCTTCCAACGTTATTCTCGACACCTGAACCCCATTCTCTTTGCTGACGAACGACTTATGTGCATCTTCACCCTAATCTTGCAACCCTAACACTATTGTTAATGAGGAGCTGATCAAAATATCGACTTGGATGACAGCAATAAACTTAATCTAACGTGACAAAACCTACTACATTATGTTTGGTAGCAGAGCAGGAGATGCGCAAATTAACATTAAGATCGGCAAACACTCTAATTACCAGGCATAATGAGGGCAAATTCCTAGGCCTATACCTCGACAACAACCTGAACTTCAGCACCCATATCCAACACATAACCAAAAAAGTATCCAAAACGGTTGGGATCCTCTCCAAGATTACGATACTACGTGCCGCAAAATGCCCTTCTCACACTATACCATTCAATTATATATCCATACCTCACCTATGCTATCTGTGCTTGGGGTTCAACTGCAGCAACACACCTAAAGCCAATAATAACCCAACAAAAAGCCGCAGTAAGAATAATCACTAAATCCCATCCCTGGAAACACACCCCCCCCCCACTCTTCATAGATCTAAACTTACTCCCTGTTCAGTACATCCACACTTACTACTGTGCAATCTACATCTACAGGACCTTAAATTCCAATATTAACCTTGACCTAAAACGTTTTCTGATAGTTGTGACAGAACCCACAGGCACAACACCAGACACAAACATCTCTATGACATTCCCTGTGTCCGACTAAACCTTTACAAAAAATTCAATGTATGTCAAAGGCCTAAAATCTGGAACACCCTACCTGAAAATTCCAAAACTGCAGACACATTCATCACCTTCAAAACTACCATCAGAAAACATCTTATCTCCCTGATACACCCTGTCAACTAATAATACGATACCACCTGGTGGTTCACACTTACATCACTCACACCATTTGACCATAAACAGAAATATCAATCTCAATCTCAAAATAATGAATCTTAACTAGTCATAAGTTGGCCTGTGATACTCCAATACTGAAACTATGTATAGTGCCAAAACAAAAGCATTCACATTGCTAAACTCACAACTAGTATTTAGTCATTTGGCCATAATACCAACTTATCTCATAATTTTGTAACATTTTAAACCTAAGATTTAATATAAGTCTGCCTGAAATGCCTAGCCATGCTAGGCGTTCTAGTGGTACACTCTGTAATTATTATTTTACTACATGTAAACCACACAATAACCAAATTCTGTAAACTCAGCATTGTAATACTTATAGAGAATAAAGTTTGAATTGAATTGAATTGAATTTGAAAGATCAACCAAAAGAGTTTCAGGTGTACTCATAAGATTAGGAAAAAATATGCCTAATTAAATATAGCTAAAGGTCAGGCTGCTGATAGTGGCAAATGAATGTATCAATTTTAACACTTTTTCCTCTGTTACACCAAAGGAAATATACAAAATCCCAGAAATCTAAAATTATATTGGTCAGAACAAAAATAAATTACACAAGCTCACTCACTAGTGACATGGTTCTCAGACAAATAGACAGGTTGAGCCAAACAAGTCACTGGGCACTGATGAGCCATTTCCAAGAATTCTAAAGGAAGGAACTCAGCAAACCAATATTTAGTCTGTTAAATAGATCACTACAAATTAATTTCATGCTGGATGAGTGGAAAATAGTAAATGCAATACCCGTTTACAAGGTGGGAAACAGATCCTCAATTTCAAATTGTAGACTAACCAGTCTAACATCAATAATGGGGAAAACTGATGGAATCCATAACTGTGGATGAACTTAGAAGCCACTTTGAAAGATATTCAATGACTCTTAGCATGTTTTATAAAGGGGGCATGTTACCTAAAGAATTTAGTAACATTTTCACTAAAGTATTTGAAGTGGTAACTGTATGACCCTTGTAGGTTTCGTGCTTAGTTATGATTACAATAATAATTTGTAGTAGTAGACCATGATGAAGAATACAGTGGACCCCCGCTTAACGATCACCTCCCAATGTGACCAATTATGTAAGTGTACTTATGTAAGTGCGTTTGTGCGTGTATGTTTGGGGGTCTGAAATGGACTAATCTACTTCACAATATTCCTTATGGGAACAAATTCGGTCAGTACTGGCACCTGAACATACTTCTGTAATGAAAAAATATCGTTAACCGGGGGTCCACTGTATTATATATTTAGATTTAAGACCTCTGATAGAGTTCAGAAGTGTAATAGCATAGCAGCACATGGCAAAAAAATTCTTATGGGTCGAGGCATAGTTGACCAACAGGCAACAGAAAGTTCGCATAAATTGGGAAAATCAGAATGGAGTCAGTATTAGAACCCTCGTTGATCACAATCTACACATACAACACAGATGAGGAAGTAAACTGCAATATAAATAGGTTCAATACGGACAAATGTAAGTTTTCCAATGACACTATTATTGATCTGGCAGATTCTATTCAGTATAAGCTAGAGTAAGGATCTAAACCAAGGAAAAGAAAATAACATCATATTTATGTACTAAATAGTTAAGATACATAGATCTTAGTCCAAGTGAATGAGGAATATTTTTAGCTAGTTACCAGAAATTTAAGCCAGTTCACAATTAGGCTAATAGAATTATCGGCCTCACACCAAGAAGTATACATAATAGAAATCTTCAAGGTGTATCATTGGTATGACCACATTTAGACTAGGTTGCTCACTTCTGGTCTCCATATTAAAGAATGGACATAAATACGCCAAAAATTACAGAGGAAGATGAAGGTACTGAATTTACAATTTATGTTAAGACTTAGAATTAAGGGGAATCTGACCGAAGTGTACAAATGAAAAGCATAAATAACGTGATTTAAATAACATGCAGAAAATATCTAATCAAGACAAGGCTCTCAATAATGGATTCAATTTGGACAAATTTAGATTTAGAAAGGGTATAGGGAAGTATACTCTTTGGCATTAGAGCTGTAGGTGAGCTGTCCACACTCCCAAATAGCTTCATTGAAGCGAGAACTATGGGTAGCTTTATACTGGTTTGAAGGGTATGTACTTGTGAGTGAATTAGACCTGCCTAGCATAGGCCAATTCACTATTCTTATGTTATTCCAAGTCCTGATGTTAAAATATCTAAGCTTTTCATAATTCGTGTCGAAGAAAATGACATGCACACAGAGGCAATGTGGGTCCTTTCAAGAATTTTCTGATCATAAAGAAGCCATCTAAGCAGGGATGGATTAAGACATGGACTTTTGGGGCTGCAGCCCATGGGCCTCTGCCAGCTGGAAGGCCTCCAGAAATTAAGTGAAAAGTGTTCACAGTTACTGCTGTAAGTTTATAATTATGGTATATTATTACATCACATATATGATGAACTGTTGACTGCTGTGATTATTTTTTTTCCTTTTGAAAATATCACTGGGGGCCTCACAGTACCTGTAGCCCAAGGGCCTTCAAAATCTTAATCTGGCTCTGCTTCTAAGATGTGTATTCAGTTGCTGTTGCAACATTCTGATGAATTGCAATATGAGAGTCTGTACTTTCAACACTAGCTTGCACTGGTCAACCAAGACGTCGAGGTGTGTCGTCTGATGGGAAAGTACAACTTGTTTTTCTTGCTTTTGAATCTCAGCACACAATTCTTTTAAATAGTAATACATTCCTAAACAAATCCTCACAACAGTGCAGACTACAGCTGTGTAAGTTCAGTTACTGCAGCTCACACTAATGTATAATGATACAAGAATGTAACCTAAAGGAAATATTTTTTTATTGTATACATTATATAAATGTATAGTATGTATATAAGTACTTATTTACTTAAATAGTAATTTACTAGATTAATGACCACTAGGCTATGCTAACATTTGAAATCTTGTTTTCTAATAAGATGCTTTGCAAATGAAAAGTTTCCAAGTAGCAAGTACCCGCCTTTTAAACACTTGGGAGTTCTAAAGACCCTTCACAAGTTTTTCAAATCAGTTCCTGGTTAGCTGGGCTGTGGTTTATAGCATGGACTGCATGCGGCTAGTACCAACAATCAAGTTCAGGCCAGCCACTGGGGACTCAGGGATGTTGACACTTGAAATCAACTCCAAGTAGCCCAGGAAAAAAAACAGGAGCATCTAATAATGGGCTCTTACATGCATCTGTGAATGAAAATAGGAAACAAGACTACACCAGCTGGAACTGTGTGAGGAAGAGCCAGGTAAGGCTATATCGACTCATGAAATGGAACACCATGGTGTGGAAATGTTGGGTAAAAAGAGTATGCATATTAAAGTTAAAAAAAATATTGGCTTTACACTGCATAAAAGAAAGAAAATTGATTTGCTTACCTTCTCTGTTAGATATTCACGACAATCGCCATTTTCAAATGACAAATAAAACTTGTAGTCACGAAGAGGTAAACAATCCTTCATAAAGTGCCCTGGGCACTTCAAGGTACCGCAGCCTCCATATTCGTCTATTTCTATGTACTTCTTCAGTTCTCTCACGTAGTCCCACCTTTTATTTTGGCTCCCACAGTTTGATCCTAATATTGCTACAGTTTTTGGTTTTAGTTTAAAATAATCAATATAATGATATGAGGCAGCCTCTTCTGGTTTCATCTCCACTGTTCGACCATATGGTACTGGGATGTCGCTGTCCATCCTGTAGCTCATTGACCAATTGAAGTAGCCATTATATTTTGCCATATCCTTCACTTTAGCTACCATAAAAGTATTATATGGACTCTCATCCGTTAACCAGATCCACCGCTGATTTATTTTAGTCCTGTTTGGAAAAGTATTGGGTCCCTTGATGCGATGCAGGTGGATTAGAATAGCATCCGCTGTCCTGGCTGCCTCATCTTCGTAAGTCAGTTTGCAGTTTTGTGCAGAACATTTTCGAAATGGGTCTTTATTTAGCTTACCATACTCCTTGAGTAAACGTTTTTCAATCTGAGGTCCAGTTTTCCAAACCAAGATTGTAAAAGTTCTATCTTTCACTGTACCTATCTCCTCATTTAAATAAAGTCTTCTTCCCAACACAGATAATTTTTTAATATCATATTCACTTAAATTTCTCCAGTTGTGACCACTTGGCAAAGAAAGTTTATTATAATCTTTAAAATTCTGTCGTAAAGACACAGCTACTGCAGGGTTTCTGTTATTAACATTCGTCTCAGGCTCAACTGAATTCACCTCATTTGCGGCATTAGCATCCAGAAAATGACCTCGTTTATTATCTTTCTCAGCAGCCTCCATATCCAATACCTCTCGTGCAGAGTTTTCTTCCTCATGCACCCCAAAACTAAGTTCCTTCTTGACCACGGGTGCAGCAGGTGTTAGCTGCTCATTCACAGAAAACACCTGAGGAAGGACCCCTTTTTGATGGCCAGCCAAGACCCAGTTTTGTATTTCTAAGAGACGTTCTTCAGGGGACAGGACTTGTTGAGATTCTCTAGAATCAAGGGTTTCCCGACCAAGGTGATCATGCAGATGGCTGTCATGAGACGATGCAAACAGCAGATTAAATGCAGCTAGGGCGCAGGCAAGGAACATGAGCAACCACAGCAGCTTCAACACCCGCATCATTCGCCACGTGAGCATTGTATAACAACAGTGCACTCTCCTGGAAGAAGAAAGAAATCTGCAACATTATGAATAAATTTTGAACCAGTTTTCAAGTCTTGTATAAATCACAAAAGATTATTTAACTCTTAAATGGTCCGAATATATTGAAAAAAAAAATACATTGTAGTTTTTTTTTTATAGAAAAACAAAGCACATTTTTTAAGTGTTTTAGAATAAAAAAAAATTTAGGGTCAGCACTTACCGAGATATGAGGCCGCGAAGTTGGCACTTGGTGATCACCTGATAGCAACATGGAGCACTGCCGCTTGCACAGATTCTACATATTTACCGTTTTCTTCCAATTTTTTTTAATTTTCTTGGTTTTCATGATATGATAATTATGTTTTATAGTAAATCTGTTGATTTCAATGCCAATTGTTGTTTATACACCAATATTATATACGAAAATATTATCATATTGTCATAAACACACATGTACACACTGACAGATGATTTTGCACACCTGGCTCAATCACATTCTATTATCTACAACTATATACAAATATTTACATGTCCCACTTATGTTTCTAGAATTCCACGATTGTATGATACTCCACGAAGCATGGATTCATACAGAGTGCCACCCCACACTGGTGACAAATGAATCATGTGACCTTCCTCTGTTGGGGTCGTTTTTTGGTGGTAGCACACACAACACACTTTTTCTGGGAATTCTTCTTCTTTGGGGTAGGTGGTATTGGTACCAGATAGTGACAGTTAGGAGTGATTCGGTTTGGCACTTTCCCCACTGGCTGTGATTATGGGACAAGTCGCTGTTGAGGGGCAGGTACAGGTGTGGTACTGTAGAAAATACTGTATATTTTCCAAAAATACAGTGTATTTTGTATGTAAATTGATGGCATATATTGTAGGTAATAAAAATTAATTTGTAAATAAATAAAGAACCAGCGATGGGTGAGCGTCGCCGGGGAAGAGTCGCCATTGTTCTGAATTGACCGAGGCAAACGTTAGTGAAAATCGGAAGAATTTTCGTCGCTCTAGGGTTATATTGGGCTTAAAACCTCTCAAATAGGAGCTGAAATTGTTGGATTTGCAGTCCTGCATAACATGGGCATTAAGCAGATGGACAGTATAGCTTTGGAACCCCAGCTAAGTTGTCTATTTATGTTGAAATTCTGGCCAGTATTTTCTTCATATTTTAGGCAGGGTTTTTTTTTGTATGACACACCGTAATCTCCAGACTAATTGGTGAGTCTTATTATTATAAATTCTCCTTCAATGTATATGTATTCACATTTTAAATTTAATATACAGTCCACATATTTATATTAATGTTTTTACCAGAATTCCTGGTGATGTATATTTCATTTGAAATTAATATAGGACCAGTGACTTGTGGAGAGATAGATTATCGTAGGTATCGACTGAGGACATTTTTTGCGACCTAAGTGTCCTAAAATTCCTACTTGTCTCTGTAACCTTGATAAAGAATAATTATCTTTGTTACCATTTACTGGTATGTATCTTATGAGTTACATCCAAGTAAATTTAATTTTCCAAAGGTACCATACTTTCTTGCTATCTGTTTGACAACATTCAGAGAGAATTCTGTAAAATGTTGTTTTCCAGTCTTTATTTCATACATATTGAATGCATTGAGCACTGCAATGTCTACAAGGTGAAAAAAGTTTCATATACCACTTGCGACTCCTACGTACACAGTCAACAAACCTTATCATCATGTCACACTTGTCAACTAGTCGCATATTGTACATATAGTCCATGACAGCAGCTGGCTTTACAATAGGCTCATTGTTGAACCTGCTCCGTCTGTCTGTTTGTACCATCTCGTTTCTGTGGATGGTTGACAGCACCTTCAACACTGCCTCCAGTGAACCTTGGCATATGTTTTCTATTCCTTCTCACTGTTCCACATATATCAGTATTGTTCACACGCAGGAAATCAGGGAGCACAGGGCTTGTATACAAGTTGTCTGTGTACAATGTATGGCCCTTGCCAAGGTACGGTTCCCTCATCCTGCAAACAACATCACCAGAAATGCCCAACATCCGTCTGTCATCATCGAGTGTGTTTCTCCCAGTGTATACAATAACATCCAATACAAAGACCACTCTCACAGTCACACATAACAAAAAGTTTTATACCAAAGTGATTACGTTTGCTTGGTATATATTGCTTGAATGAGAGGCGTCCCTTGAACAGAATCAAGGACTCATCAACAACAATGTTCTTGAAGGGATAAAAGTATGCACTGAATTTCTGCTTCAAATAAATAAACACTTCCTGGATTTTGTATAGGTCATTTCTGTTTGGCATATTTCTGTCTGAGAAGTGCAACATTTGTTGCACTGAATCTGTTGCACGGAAGGAGGTCACGGAAACTGGAGTACTGATGAAGTGGTCTGTGGACCAGTAATTACGTATACTGTACTTATAGGTATGTGGCATAAGCATGATAGTGGCAAGGAATAAATACATTTCAGCCACTGTTGTGTCTTTCCACCTGTGCAGCCGTGGCAATTCTCCAACCTTTGCTGTGTTGTCCATGACATATTGGTAATAATTGTTTGTCTGGGTCACTATCAAGTTCATTATAGGCTCGTCAAAGTACAACTGGAAATAGTCTAACTCTGTAGACTCATTCGTTAGGGGACATTCTGGCTGGATACCACTTCCACTCACATCAAAATCACAAGGCTGTGGCACAAATATACTTTGTGTCCAGTTCCACTCACGATCACATGGTGCAGGGTGGACCTGTGGCATGGGGTGAGGGGAAGCAGGAGGAGGGACAGGAGTGGAGGCAGCACATGGTTGAGGGGATGCAAGGCGGTCCTTTGTCTGTCCACCAACCGCACCATGTGGTCCAGGCACCGTGCCACCCACCACTACTTCCTCCATCCCCGCATACTCACCTTCATGATCACTTTCACTATCAGTGTTTAGTTTAATATGTTTATTATGCACCCCATACCCATCCTGTGGGCGGTAGTCAAAAGATTACAGAGGTACATAATTGGTCCAGGGACTGGACTCCAAAGCTATGATAGCTGAGCAAGTTACAAAGGTAATGAACTAAATCTGGTTACAATAATGAGAATTGACAAAGGTAATGAGCTCTAGGTAGAGTTGGTCACAATCATGACAAGTTTCTAAGGTAATGAATCGTGAACACATGATTACAATCATGAACAATTTTCAGAGTAATGATTAATTAACAAACATTGTAGGGAATTCATCCATTGCCAACAGACGTTGCTTGGTGCGTGTTCCTCCTCGGCAGGACAGCCAGACAGCCATTGCAAACAGCAGCAGGTTGCGCCAGGAACATCTGCTTGCAGGAGCACCATTGACCCTCCCCAAGAGGTCCAAGAGGCCAGCGACTCTGCTAGCAGCCCGAGGGAGAGCCGCCCTGGGGACGTGTCAACGTCCTGGTGGACGCCAAGTTGACTGACGATCCCCGGTCCTTTGTTAAGGTGAAGGCTCGGCAGCTGTCACCTACTTCTGCTGGGAGGGGCTGTTGGTTGTTTCCACCTGGAGCCCTCCGGGTGCCCAGGCACCCACCGTGTGCATGGATGTTGAAGCTTGAAGAACTGAGTGCACACTGCCTGTGGCACACCTGACAGCTGCCATGCGGTCGAACTCCACGGCGCTGTCCATGCAGTGGCATCCCTGATGTGGGCTGGGAGGGAAAAGTACCCTCTACAGTTGTGGTGGGGCTGGGAGTTGGGTGGGTGAGGCGGGGGAGTTGAATGGTTGAGGCACGAGGGTGAACAGTTATGAGAGGGTCATTGTTTATTACACACGGGGCAAGGCCTGGGGAGGGGGGTGATGGGCACTTCCCTATACAATGATTGTGCATTGTTGTTCACACTGTCCTGCCTACAACAAACACAACATTCATTCGTTTCCCATGCACATCATGAAATATATGGGCATGTGACTCGCCAAAACCAACAATGTTGCTTCATCCCCACCTACACACCCTGCCCCCTCCCCCCGACAGCATGGGGGAAAGGCACTGCCTGGTCCCAAACTGGGCACTCTCACCACACCCAACTCTCACAAACTGCACAACACTTCCACGATTTATGCTGAAAGGATGCACTGGGATGTCCTCTTACTGCTCTGGAATCTTTTCAAGGCATTCACACAGAGTCCTGCTCAGTCGTGCCCTGGTCAGCCCCTTGGATCAGGAGCTATCCTTGAAAATCCTGCAGCTAGCCCACCATATGTCCTGCCATGTCAGCCATGTTGGTGGAGCACACTATCAGTGGCCGGGGTTTTGGATCGTGACCTGCCACGACCCTTGGGGAATGCATATGGCACACTGCCTGAATGTAGACGATGATGCCTAAAAGTACGCTTCACTGGTGAATAATGAACTTCACTATTGCTAGACGAACCCTCGAGTGGCATAAAATGAATCTCATCGTCACTTACATCACTCTATCACTAAAACACCGGGAAAATGATAGTTTCCTTTTGCGAAGTTGCCTATGGATAACATTCCCCACTCCAGAGGTACTTGGCCCAGGGTCTTGTGTGGCCACACTGGCCACCCCAGAAGTGCTTGGCCTAGGGTCTGCTGTGGCCACACTAGCTACCCCAGAGGTGCTTGGCCCAGGGTCAGGTGTGGCTACCCCAGAGGTGATGGGCTGAGGGTCATCTGGATTATCGTTGACATTTTCACTAATTCCTTGAATATTATTGGCCCCACTGGTGTCAAATCCACTAAACTCACAGTCTATATCACTTTCCTCGAATAGCAGAATGTTAATACGATGAGGCATGAGTGAATCATGA